TTAAAAACGGAATTGTTAAAAATACTGTATTTTAAAAAATATTGTATAATGTGAATCTGCATAACTCAGTCAAGCAATATTTCCAAATGACCAAAGCAGGATGTTATAACATCCTGCATGGGTAAAAAAGTCACTCAGTGCCAGGTGGATGAATAGACTTTAATGTAATCAAGTACAAAAAGTTAATTGCTCTTGTTTCATATTGTACATTGCAGTCCTGCACTACATGTAAGAAAATACTACTTGTTGAGTTGATGTTTCAAAAAATATGATCTCAGTCATCTGAAAAGGCCATTAAATTGCTCCTCTCTATTCCAACTAAATATCTGGGTGAGGTTGAATATTTTTCAAGTATTTTAACCAAACCAACATATTGCCAACAGAAGCGCATAAGAGAATCCAGTTGTCTTCCATAAAGTCACATTTAAGAGATTTGGAAAAAAAAAAAAAAAGGGTGGGGGAAGAAGGGGAATCAGGTATTCATTTTTTTAGCTAGAAAATAGTTATTTTTTTCATAAAATATGCTATTCGTGTGAATGTACTATGGGCAACCTTTAAATAAATAAATATCTTATAGATTTCTCGGTCTCATTTCTCTGATGGTGGAAGTCAGTAAATAAAACACGCAATAAACACTCTTTGAAGACGTCACTTTTTGAGAGTGTGTAAAGTGAGTCTGAAACCAAAACGTATGGGGACCACAGGTAGAAGCTGAGCAGTACCATCTGGCAGCCCCAGGGGTACTATATTCTACTTAGCATGTATATAACTACTGTCAGGACCTCCACCCCGACGTTCCACCTTGCTGCCAACCTCTGGCCTTCTGTTATTTCACGGCTCCATCACTCCTATTGATATTGGGGAGCCAGTTCTGGAATAGCCTCCTGCTATTTAGCCCGGGTCTACAGAGGACAGCCCCAACTAAGTTCCTCACCAGTACAAGTCCTCGTTGCTTTGATTACCTTAGTATCCTCTGGGCCTTTCTACAAAATGAATACATGTCTGACCTCACATAGAAGATCCACTATGCATACCCTCTTCTCTGAGCATTTTGAACCCTTTTTCCGCTGTCTGCCATGGTAGCCCTGGCATTTCCACTTTACTTGGTGAGCCACTCCTGTGTTCCAGAGTCCCTGTCGGCTATTAAATCCTGTTTCATGGCAGAGTGCTTCTGTTATAGAGCAACCCCGATATTAAACGGGTTCCTGGTTGTGGGTCCTCACCCGTGCGCTTTAAAGGGGCTTATGAATACTCCACTACAGGCACACACAAAGGGTGGGGGTGGAGTCCACAAAGCCTATATGGAATTAGCTTTGGGACATCCTTTTCCCCCTAACACTTCCATATCAATAACCTCTCCCCTATTCAACTTAATATTCAGCGTCCCCTTGATCCAGCCATATAGCACTCCTGACTGCTGCCAGTATATACGTGGTAGCTACTTGGGCAGCTCTTTGAGGGCATAACCCTCTTCCTCCCCAAGAAAAGCAGGCTCTGCTGGGTTTTGCTGCAACTTGACCCTATTTACTGGTCTTAAAGGCCAGGAGAGAGGCAGCTTCCTTTGCACCCAAGGGCAAATCTCAAGGACAAAGGCAGCTGTGAGTCCTTTGTAGGCAACACTCCTGGCAGCTGGAGGAAAGAGCCTCCATCCTGGGAGTCATCCGGGTGGCACCCCACATCCACTACTTCAGAGACAAAGTTCAGCTCTACGTATGAGGCAAATTAGAGCAGGTGAGAACTGAATCCTCTAGAGCAGAAAGACTCAGGTTTGAGATCTCACTCTGTGATCTTCGGCATTTTACTTAACCTTTTTGAGGCAAACTCCTCCGCTCTAAAAATGAAGATAAGTAGTAAGTACCTGATAGATCGTTGTGTGACAAATGAAACAGAGGTGCAAGTGCTTATTATGGTGCCTAGAACATAATGAGGGCATGGATGTTGCTGCTGTTTAATTGGTCAGAACTTTCCAAAGCCTGTAAAGGCTGAATGAGGGAGCAGACAATAAGGCAGACCATCACAGAGAGCCTGTTAGCTGACTTTGGAGAGGGCTCCACAGGGGTGTTGTGGAGGAGGTGGTAGGGTCTGTGGGGGGACTTACAAAAGATGACCTTTAGGGCCCATTCTGTCCCCAAGTTGGCTTGATTGCCTGATTTCTTGGTTATGCCTACCCTTCGCGGGGGAGAGGCACTTAGAGAAGCATATTCACTTTCAGGCCACTAGGGGGCCATTTAGTTGTCTGCAACAGGAATAGTACACTAATGGTTTCTTAATGGCTCAGGCACCAGGGAGATCAGGCTCAATTATATCTGAAAGCATTTTGAGTTCCTGGGGTAAAAGACACTATGCAAATCCAGATAATAAATAGGACTTATTGATGACAGGTTAAAGAATCTGGCACTGTTTAGTTTGGAGAAGAATACAGAGAGAGGAATTGAATAAGGGCTTCAAGTATATTATTCCTTAGTATAGAAAGGAGTGACATGCTGTTTTTCTGCTCCACTGGGAACCAAGCAAGAAGAAAGAAGTTTAATTTGCAACCGGAGAAATACAGAGTGCAGTCAAGAAAGAATATAGAAGGAGGCTTTGGGCTGGCCTTACCTGGAATTTTATTTATTTTATTTTTTTATTATTTTTTAAAAGACTTATTTATTTATTTTACACAAGAACTAGGGTACAGGCCAGATGTGCGGGAGGGTGAGAGGACTCACCAGAGACAGACCGGGGAACAGAACAGGTAGACTGACAAAATACACTGCTGAGGGGAGCAGCGGGCACGACAGGAGAGGTCTGCCACACCATGTGGGACCCTCACCGGTCTGCCAGGATCGAACTGGTGCTGCAGAGGCTGTGGACAGCTTCACAGCGCATCGCTCAACAGCCTGCGCCACCAGGGGAGGCCCCTTACCTGGAATTTTAAAGAATAGTTCACGTTGGTATAGTTAGTACACCAGTAAAGCCAGAGAGCAGAAAGAGGACAACATCCAGAGACAATTCAGGATTTTAACGTAATGGGCTGCCCCGGCTGCCCCGGCCTGGGAGCAGGGTGGGCATGGAGTGGTTATCTTTTCCCCAACAGTCTGCAGAACACAATAAGCACTCCAAACTTCCAATGTCCTTGAAATTTCTCAGAAAGTAAAAAGGCAGGCTATTCCTGAAAATGGCATCCAGTTGGCCATTGCTAGTGGCAGATTCATACCCGGGCCTCAAGAATGAGAGCAAGGGGCTGGTTTATAGGTCTGTGGTTCCAGTAGCTGGTCAGCCCTGATAGCCACCTGACTTGTGTCTTCCTGCAGAGACAGGAGGGCAGGGCAGCAGAGTTGGAAAGGGATTTCCTCACAAAGTGTTATGAGTCTAGAAGTTAAAGATTCCCATGAAGGAGGAGGGGACTGAAATAGCAGAGAGGGTGCTGCCCCCACAGTGTCAGAAGCCAGGAGTCAGGTTCAGGGACAGAAGGGGGAGCTTCACCCACAGAACCCCATCACTACCATAGTCCTCTCCCCCCCACACACTCAGGCAGACACAGTCTCCCACACTCATTGAGACACCCAGACGTTCTGCACACCCAGCTCTGGGAACACAGGAAGTAGAATTCAAGGAGGAGGGAAGCAGAAATTGTGGAAAACCTTATAGAGACGGAAGGGGGGGGGGTGGCAGTGAGGAGAGGGGGAGAGAGGAGGGAAGAAGAGTGGTAAAGGCACAGGGAAAGCGGCTACTGAGAGTGTGAACTCGGAGAGGAGTTGTCAACACCGACTCCAGGGAGGATAAACTCTCCGGGGGCTGGCGGGGTGGGTTGGGGGACGGGCACCACCGCCCCGGCTTTGAGGTCCTGAGAAGAGGAAGCAGGGAGACTGAGGGCTACACTCCAGGTTCACCGCAGTCCCTTGGGTCCAAACCCGAGGACGGGAAGCCCCTACTGTGGGCACTTGGGACCTGAGGCCAGGTGCAAGCGTGGAGCCCAAGGTGTCCGGGGAGTTCAGAGAACCGGCTCAGCAGGGGACTGTTCGGGAGACTCCGCAAGTCCGGACAGCCCGGGCCGGGGCTCGAACAGAGCAGGCGATCGGGAAGGTTTCAGCCAAGTCCCGAGGGCGAGCCCGGGCCGGGCGGGGAGGCGGGCCACCGCCACAGTCCCGACCGCCGCGCGCGCTTCGGGCTCCCCGCAGCCCAAGCCGGGCACGCCCCGGGCCCCCGGGGTGTGACGGGGTCCGGGAGCCCCGCCTGGGCGGCAGCTGCCACAGGGCGCGAGCCGGGAGCCCGCGCGCGGCATCGCTCTCACCCCGGGGTAAACTGAGGCCTGGGGGCCCGAGCCGCTGCGGCTTTCGCGCCTGCCCCTTCGCGCGGTGCGGGCGGCGGGAGCGGACAGCTCCCCGCCGGGCCGCCCCTCCCCGCCCCTCCCCGCCGGGCTCTCGCGCTCCGCGCGGCACCCCAGACGCAGCCTTTCCCCTTTTAAAGGAGCGCCCGGGGCGCTCAGCCTCCCGCGCCCGCGCGCGCGGGGCCACGGGACGTTGCCCCTTTAAGAACCAGCCTCCTTTAACTCTCTCGGCGCGGGGCGCCCCCGCGGGCCGCGGCCGCCGCAGAAGCCCGCCCCCCGCGCGGCACTTCCGCACCCCGGCGTCGCCCTTTTAAGAGGCCGCCCCGGCGCGGCCCCCGCCCCTGGCCGCCGGCGCGCGAGGCGGGGGAGCGGCGGGAGCGGAGCGCGCGGGCCGCGCGGCCACTGGAGACCGGGCGGCCGGCGGCCGGGCGGGCGCGGCGGCGGCGGCGGCGGATGGGGCCGCGGAGCCGGGCGGCTGTGGCGGCTGTGGCGGCGGCGGGGAAGCAGCTGACGGGGCGGCGGCGGCGGCGGCGCTGGCGGCGGTGACTGGCCCAGGCCCGGGGCGGCGGCGGCGGCGACGGGCCGCGAGCGGGCGGCGTGAGGCGCGGCGGCGGCGGAGCGCGGAGCTGCCGGGAACGGGGCGCCGGGCCGCCCCCCGCCCAGTCCGCGCAGGCCGCCGGGCCCCCTCCAGCCGGGGCCGTGGAGCACCGGGGCAAAGGCCGGGGCCCCCCCATGAAGGAGCGCGACGCGGCCCCGGCCGAGCGGGGCAAGCCGGCCACCTACACCGGGGACAAGAAGGCGAAGATGGCGGCCAAGACCAACAAGAAGTGGGTCCGGCTCGCCACCGTGTTCGCCTACGTGCTCTCCGTGTCGCTGGCCGCCATCGTGCTCGCCGTCTACTACAGCCTCATCTGGCAGCCGGTGGGCGCCGGGACCTCGGGGGGAGCCGTCGGCCCGCCCCCGGCGGCTCCAACGCCACCGGCCCGGCCGGGACTTCGGGGGCGGCCGCGGCGGAGCCCAACGCCACGGGGCCGTCCCGCCGCGAGGCGCCGCGCGACGCGCCCCCCTGCAGGCGGCGCGGCCCGCGCCCCCCGCGCCCCCCGCGGACAGCCCCCCGGCCGCGCCGCTCGAGCGGCCGCGGGGGCCCCCGGGGGAGGAGGAGGAGGACGACGAGGCGGCGGCGCCCCGGGGTCGCTGAGCCCCTCGGCGCCGGGGCCCGCCGGGAGCCGTCGTCCCCGCGCGCGGAGACCGGACTTCGCAGCAGGACCGGGCGGGGAGCCCGCGGGAGTGAACGCCCCCTTTGCGCCAGACGATCGCCGACTCGCCCCCCGCGCGCGCGCGGCGGGGCCTGCAGCCCGACCTTCTGCCGAGGGACCGCGACTCGCCGGGGGCTCCGGGTTGGGCTTCCCGGGACTGTGCCGCGCCGGGGCCCTGCGCCGTTAGTTAGGGGAGCGGGGGATGAGGAGAGCCCGGCGCCGAACCCCTGCGCTCGCTCGCTCGCTCGCTCGCTCGCTCGCGCGCCCTTGTGTATCCGACGTCCAGGGGCGACTCGGGGCTCTCCCCCAAGACTCAGGGGAAGGAGGGGAGCGGTAGGGGCTCTTGAATAAGCTGACGCTCTCTCAAGGAAGCGGGCATCAAAAGTAGTGGAGCTCAGGTACGTCAGCCTAGTTGCAGTGGCCACAGATGCATTTAATTTATAGATCCCTGTATATAGTTGTTGACATATGCACTAGAAGCTATAATTACATAGAACTATGTGTATCCTCCCACACCCTGGTTAGCTACTGACTAATGGGGGTCAAGCAAGGGCTATTTGCTTTCCCCTGAAGTGCAGCTAAGCCGAAGGGGCACAAACACTGTTTTGATTTTGGTTTTGTTTTTCTCATCAATCACCCACTCTTTCCCCTATTCCCTCTGGTATTTCAGAAAGATAGGTGTATGACACAAAAGAATATGAGCGGCTTAGGCTCGCGGAAAACCTTAGGAGAAGGAGTAGCCGGTTAGGGAGGGTGGAGAATGTGCTGATCCCTCCTCTTCCCACCCTCGTGCCCCCACTGAAAGGCTTCCTGTTGCAGCCCTAAGTATCTGGATTTGCGCCAGAGAAGAAGGAAGGGAAAGAGCAATGCCTCTGTGCTTCAATTCTTGGCCTTCTCCTCAGCATTCTTTTGGGAAGAGCAAGCTTTTGTAAGTAGAGTGGATCACAAGTGTCCTCGCCCTCCCTCCCTCCTGCTGCTTCTCCTCAAGATCTTGTCTTGTTCCTATAATCACCCTCCACTTCTCTCTATCCTGAGCCTGGACGGACGATGCAGCCCTGCGATTAGGAGGAAATCTGTTGTGAAACCAGTGCTTTGGGCACATCCTCTGGCTGAAAAGTGGACTTCAAACTCAGGACTGTGTGTTGGTAGCCAGTTAACAGACCCACGTGGGAAGGATGAATTGGCTTGTCTTTACCTCTCCTGATAGACACACTTATATGCTGCCTGCACTTTTATTGAAATAAGAAACATCAAGGGAAATGACATGTGTAGCTCTGGGGCAGCAAGAAGTATACATCTACAATTTGGATTCCATTTCCTTCTGCCACTTGCTTTTAGGCAATTTGAGTGTGGGTAGTGACAAGATAACAGACCCCTTAGTGTTTCCTTTTTGGGAAATGAGGCACTTGAAAAAAAAAAAAAAAGAGAGAGAGAGACAAAAACTTATCCACCTGAGTCTCGAAACAGTTTGTCTCTCCAGTTTTCTAGCCTACACTCCAGTTAGTGCTGATCCAAGTTTCCAGGACAACAGCTTGCCCTAAGCCATGTCCTGTTGTGGGCAAGATAATGGCAGCTGAGCTGTCAGAGCCTAGGGGCAGGCTGGTAGCACCCTCGAGGTGTCTTGGCTGGCGATTTCTGAGCAGCTGACTTGACTTTGGTCTTTTGGAAGCCTTTGAGGCCTTTTTAAATTTTTGGTGAGGACCTGGGGAAAGAAACATAAAATGCCACTTTATAACTTCAATAACAGCCTGTAATTTATATTTATTGTGTGAATTTTTAGTCTCTATTTTAATAATTTGTAAATTGAACTCTTATTCCAAGAACCCTTTGAATTTTCAGGAGACCATCTGGGAGCCCAGCCCCCTGCCCCCATCCTGACCCCTGCATTCTGGACTGTAAATCCACTTTGGGATGGATCAAAGAATCTAGAGAGACCACTCCTAGGGCCAGCTGCTGGCCTCCTGACTCTCTAAAGCCTTCACTGGAATTGGGACATTAGCTCCAGCTCTAGCTGTGAAAATGACCAGAGACGTTATTTATAATTCAGCCATTTAAGATATACCTGTACTCAAAAAGTCCTGTATATTTTTTAAAAGTTTTATTTTTCAGGTGAACAAAAAATACATTCTAAGAACTCTACGTAAACCTGTGTAAGTTGAACCTTTCTCCTTTCGTACTTCTTGGGGGGAAGGAATTAAGATCCGGAGAGGAAATGGATAGCTATGTGGGGGATGGGTGGTGAGCTATAGGTGTAGGAGGAAAAAGCAGTTGCCCTGATGTTCTCTGTGCCTGATGATTTGACTGAATTGATTTGCAAAGGGTGGCAGGAATCCATCTTAGTTAGGAAGCAATCGTGGGGGTCGGGAAGAACTAGCTCAGCCACCTTTTGCTGACCTTAATTAGAAAGGTTGACAAAAAGTTCTGCTTTTAAAGGAGTCTAAGCAGATGCCTCACTGAGGAAGCTTAGGGGCCAGTAAGCGTGCATTTTAAAAATTTTTGCAAACATTAAGCTGACCGACAGCTAAGGTGAGTATGCGTCACCTGATATATCACCATTCTGTTCTCACCTTTAAAACACTGGGCCCAGATAGCTCAAGAAGTGCTACCACTAAGAAAGATAAACCCATGCATGTAGTGGTTGTCCCCAACCTGTCTACGAAGGAGGAGGTGTAGGCCTGAGGGCTCAGAGAGGTGTAGGTTGCTTCAAAGATGAGGCTTTTTCTCCTCTTTAAGCAAACAATAAAAGGACGTGGGTGAGAAACACAAATATAAGGGATTAGTTACACTGTAAAATATGTGGCAAGCAGTTGAGCTCAGCTCATTATTACACAATGCTGCCCAGTACAAACCCCAGCAAGAAGCCAGCGTCCCCGGGGCCCCCTGAGGCCTACCCTTCTCCAGAGCGGGTGGGGGTGGGGATGCTTTTACATCACCTGGTAGTCTGCAGGGGAGCAGGGAAAAGTATGCCCTTTTATTTCCCTTTTCAGCCTACACAATGGCTCTCTGTTAAGACAGAGCACAAGGGGAGTGAAAGTTTCTCAGGTTCTAGTCAGCCCCTCCTTTCTGTAGATGGTGACATGTGGTTTTACAGCGGCACATGGCTTCACACATTGGGCACATGCAGCCGTGTGTGCAGCAGAGCCTGCTGGCCGGTGAGCAGGGCACTGTTCCGGCAGAACGGGGCCCTGGTTGCGGGGAATCGCGTTCAGAATAGCCTTATTTTCAAGGGTTAGAGATAAGCTGCAAAACTGTCCTTCAGGTTTTGAGCCAGGAGATGTTTGTGCAAAAGGGGATTATGTCTCTCCAACTGCTTTGCACCTGGGCTCCCAGGATCATTGCTAGGTGTTTGCTTATATTAGAAGTTACTGCGCGCAGTGTGTGCGCGCGCGCGCGCGTTTGTTCCAACAGCCTGAATTTGGAGGAAGAGATAATCCTCTTGAAAGTGACGTTTTGGAGCATGAGGGGCTGGGGAGTTTGTTAAGCCGCTGAGACTTGAGTTTGTGTGGGTATCATTTCTTTGCTCCCATTGCTGCTGAGGTGCAAATAAGTGTTTCAAGTTTTAGCCGTAGGAAATGCTATTCTTCCTGATAGCTCTTGATTCCTTCATGGTACCTACCGGATGAGACCGACCGCCGCTTTGGAAGCTTTTCTGTCTACCTTGTTTTTCAGTTTTCACTGGGGAATTCTAAGATAGTGTGTTCTTTCGTTGAGTATTTATATCCTGTTTTGAAATGTGGGGTGGAGAGCATCAACTTGTTTCTGCGTTTCTTTTGGAGGAACTGAAAAGTCAGGACCCCAGCATTAGGGCTCCCGCTGCTTTTTTAAGATTTATTTATTTATGCATACAAGAGCCAGGGTGCAGGCCAGAGGTGTGGAGGATGAGAGGATTCACCAGAGACAGAGTGGGGAACAGAACAGGGAGACTGACGAAATACACTGCTGAGGGGAGCAGCGGGAGAGACAGGAGAGGTCTGCTGCGCCATGTGGCTTCTCCCTGGCCGATGGCTGGGGACAACTTCGTAGGTTGCTTCTAACCTCCCACCCCCACCCCCAACCCCTCGCCACCAGGGAGGCCCCCACAGCTACTTAAAAGGGGTCATAATTGTCCCCTTCCTGTCTGCAGAGAATAGCAGTATTTCTGGAATTACTGCGCAGTAACAAAGGGGCCACAGTGGCACATTTTTTTTTTTTTTTTTTTTTTTTGGTGTCTTTGGTAGAGGGAGGGACCATAATGGATTTATTCATTTCACAGGACCAGCTTAGTGCCTGACACACAGTAATAGGTACTGTGAGTTTGATTACCTGGTTGATCACTGTGTTAGGTGGTATCCTGTGGTTTCACTGTCTTTCTTTTTTTAAAGATTTATTTATGCATACAAGAGCTGGGGTACAGGCCAGAGATGTGGAGGGGGTGAGAGGATTCACCGGAGACAGAGTGGGGAACAGAACAGGCAGACTGATGAACTACACTGCTGAGGGGAGCAGCGGGCGAGACAGGAGAGGTCTGCTGCGCCATGTTTCTCTCTGTCCGGCTGGGGATCAAACTCATGCTGCAGAGGCTGCGGATTGCTTCCTAGTGCGGTGCTTGACCCCTTGTGCCACCAGGCAGGCCCTGGTGTCACTGTCTTCATCCACTCGTGCTCACAGCTGCACTGGCCACCGTGGCTATGGTTTCATTCCAAGTTTTGGTACTTGCCTCGCCCCGCTTGTTCTTTCCGGAAGTGCACAGCCTGAAGCAGTGCATAACAAAGATGACATTGAATATGTGCTCTGTCCATTGTCTCCTCTGTCCCAGTCCTCTGGTTTAATGTTGAGCCATAAAAATACCTGCTCTATCAGCAGCGTTTTGGTCACATCTGTTTTTCTTGCTGACACATTTTGTGGTTTTCTACTGCCAGAAAACCTGTTTTATGCTTTGTCCCCTCCAGTAACTAATAAAAAAGCCATTTTTTTTTTAAAGCACAAACCTAAATTCTTCTTAGAACTCTGGGCCCTAAATAGAGAAACAGCCGTGGCTCCTGGGTGTGCATCATCCACAGGGTCCTCTTGGTTGGAAAGGAGCATCCAGGGCTAAGCCAGTTTCCCTGTGCCCCATTCCATCCTATAAACATTTGTTAAACTCCTACTGAAGGATCAGAAAATTACCATCCAATTCTTGCCCTCAAGAAATGTACAGTATTGCCAACTAGAATCTTTCCTTGTAATGCCCTGCTTTATTAACTTCAGTAATTGTTTTTTAATAGCTTATCAGTTAAATAACAATAATAGTCTAACTTTCCTTAGAATATTTTCCATAAACTCCTGCCATTAATTCAAGAACTATTTATTTGGTGCCTATAGTGGGCCTCAAGAGTCCCAAAACCATCTTGTCCAAAAAAGCAATTATGTTGATTACCAGGGCTTTCTCGTTAAATATACTTCGCTCTGCTACCTCGATGTTCAGAATCATGAATTGAGGTCTCCCCTGAATTCATTGTGTCTTAGAGGCCAGCTTCCCCTCAGTTCCCCTCTAGACAGTGTTGAGTCATGGCAACCAGTCTCTGAGAGGTCAGCGGCCCATAGCACCATGAGGACCAGCGTGGGAGGCAGTGTGCTTTGTGGAGGGACCCTGAACTGGAAGAGAGGAAACTGACACAGCAGTAGCACTGTTCTGTCCCCTGACCCACCCGCTTCCTCCTCACTAATGGTGGGAATTCATGAGCGCAAATGGAGGTACTAGCTAGGACAGGGCTTGGAAAGCTTGAGAATAAAAGTGCAGTGTATACATGAGGTAATATATTTTCTTTTTTTTTTTTTTAAAGATTTATGCATACAAGAACTGGGGTACAGGCCAGAGGCATGGGGGGTGGGGAGGGTGAGAGGATTCACCAGAGGCAGAGTGGGGAACAGAACAGGCAGACTGACTAAAACACACTGCTGAGGGGAGCAGCGGGCGAGTCAGGAGAGGTCTGCTGCACCATGTGGGTTGCTCCCTGGCCAGGGATCGAACTCGTGCTGCAGAGGCTGTGTAGAGTTTCTTAGGTTGCATCTCAACCCCTTGCACTACCAGGGAGGCCAAAAAAATATATTTTCCAGGGAAGGCATGGAGACATGGAAAGAAGTGTAGGTGTAAAACATTACGCCAGTGCCCAGACCATCAGCGTTGGCATCACCAGGAACGTGTTATAAATTCAATGTCTTCTGCTCCAGGCCACAGAAATACAGAAATCGGGGGAGAAATCAGGGGCGGGAGCCCAGCACTGTGTTTTGACTGGCCTCCCAGGCAATTCTCATGTACCTGACGGATGAGACCCCCCTGGCCCAGCCGCCGCCCTGGTTCTGTAACTTAGGGTTAGAGCATTTCTGTTTTGACAGATGGTTATCTATCAAGGTGACTTGTGACCCTCTTTCTTGCTTGAAACCAGCTGCTCTGCTGGAGGAAGAGGAAACACTGTGTCCCCAGAGTGCCTACGAGAAGGGGGAAAGCCTACATTGTTGGTTATTTGCAGGCGAGCAGGCCCCCCCGGAGAGGTTGTCAAGAAGGAGACAGGCCTGAAAGATTCCCACCCCCAACCAAAGGGTCTGAAGTGTTTGCCTCGCCTCCTGCCCTGGGGCCTGCTGCTCCTTGAGCCGGTCCTTAAAAGGAGCAGTGGGTGCCACATTTGTTCTTTCTGGTGCCAGGCCTGTGCTATTTCACTTCCCTGGCGTCAAGTGGATGCTTAATGAGAGGCAGTGACGTGGGCCGGCTGACTTGTTGAGAGAAAGCAGTGTCAGCCCGTGCTTTATGCGGGCTCCGCTGCCGCCTTCCCCAGCCTGGTGTTCTCACCGGCAGGAAGGCCGCAGTCACCCTGTGTCACCCCTTCCTCAGAAGGACTGATAACCTCACTCGGAAAGAGCTGCTAGCCGAGGCCTGTGGACACTGATAAATGGCTGGAGCAGCAGTGAAGCGGTGACTTTAGTTTCTCTTACTCCCTTGATCAGCGCCCTCCCATTTAGTCCCCCGAATAAGAAGATAGATGGATTCTTGCTATTTCCTCTGTTCCTTGAGGGGGCAAGTGCCTTCTCTTCCTGTTATTCCTTCCCTCAGACTGGGGTTGGGGCAGAAGCTGGCTGGTGGCCTAACCTGTACCTTGTTAGATAACTGAGGACCCCCGCTTTTGGGGATCCACAGTTACCCACCCCTTGACCCTAACAAAATACAGTCATGCTCCTCCTTTGGATGACAACATTTAACTCCCGGAGGTGTAGAACAAATTCTACAGAGTTTATTTTCTGGGTAAAATGTTGATGTAGAACTGTGCTGTGAGTGCGTGAGGCTGCTGTTGATGCAAACAGAAGAGAAGAGGAACCACTGTGAGCTGCTGGAGCCGGTAGAGAGAGGCCAGGGGGGATGCCTAGGGCCTCCATGTGATCGAGCCAGTGGGTGAGGGAAAGGAACGTGGCTGTAGAGCATGGTCACTGCGTGAGGCTTTTAACCCAAGACTAGCCCAGGGGATTAAAAGCAGCTGGCTATCTTGGAAGGCTGGGTAAATTTTACAAACTAGCCCTTGTTTCCCCGGGAGTGTACCGACCCCAGTGAAGACGAGGCGAGAGGAGAAGTTAGAGGACCAGATAAAAGGCAAAGTAGCCAGAAGTCACACCAAATAGCTCCTTCATTTATTCAGCAGACATTTACTTAGTGTCTTCATTTGCCAGGCGATGGGTCCAGAGTGCCTGCTGTGTGCTGGGCATCTTTTGCATATTCTCATCTTTAATTTTCTCACCCACCCTTCAAGGTAGGTGGTTCTAGCCACATTTGGCAGACTAGAAAACAGAGGCTTTTCGAGGTTAAAGGTGGCTGGGGTCACCCAGCCAGCAGTTGGCAGACCTAGGATTCAGATTCAGTCTGTTGGTTGCCAGTTCCCTGCTACCAGCTGCCTCATCAAAAAACAACTTTTCGTGTGAGATGGTGTGAGGCGGCCCCTGCCAAGGTGATTTGGGCCTAAGTAGGGAGAGCTCTCCGTCCTCTCCTGGCTGACCCTCTCTCCCCTTTGTGCCCTCCCTTATCAGTTCCTGCAGCTCAGTGCGTGTGTGCGTTCCTGCAGCCGAGTCTCCTGACCAACTTCCCGCCTTTGAGGAGTGGTCTTACCTGTTGGCTGGAGAAGAGAAGGGCATCCAAGGGCAAGGCTCCCAGGCGGGCCTTTAAACACGGGAGCCAGGAAGAGCAACAACCAGCCCCACGAGCCAAGGTTTGTGGAGGGAGAACTAACTGCTTGCTTCCCGCTCCATAGCGGCTTCCATCCTAGAGCAGAAGGGGTGGTTCCCTTATCCTGAAGAAGAGCCCCCCCTTTTCTGAGAAAAGCTCAGAGACGCTTGGCTTACGCTATCCTCCCTACAATTAAGACGTCCTGTGCCGCTGTCCGTTCTCTCTAACCCCTAGTGGCTCCAAGGACATCCTTTCTCCTGCCGTTCTGGCACGGAAGCCTTGTCTCTCCATCGCCCTTCTGCCCAGCTTGCTCTCCTGATCAGGTCCTATTGTGGGGGCTGACTCAGAACTCTCCAAATTCTACCTCCCCACCCCACAGTCAAGCAGTCCTTGGCATGTACCCCTTAATGAAGATGCAGCTGTACAATTGGCAGCATTGGGAGCAGTTTGTGAATCTTAGAATTCAAATTCTTGGTCACGATCACTTGGGGAGACATCTGAATTCCCGGGCTCTACCTGAACCTGCTCTACCCCAGCCCTATTCTCTGGGTGCTAAGAGTTCTAGCGCCCATCCCATGCTCCAAAGCCATAGATAGATGGGCAGCAGGTGGGAGACGAGCTTGGAGTCTTTCACCAGGCCTGTTCACATCTCGTAGGGGTCTTATTCCCCATATATAGGAATGTTCCTAAGCCTTTCCAACATTCCTCTGATCAACTGCATATCAACTACTTCCACACACATCCCCTCGCCATCCAACCCTTCCCACTCCCCGGCAGCTTCCCACCCAACTCTGAAGCCAGGAAGCTCCCACCTGGTTGGGACAGTGTCCCCCAACTCTCTCCAGAGCCAGCAACCAGCCCTCAGCATCTAGACTCTGTCTCTGCCCCTAGTTCTCACCATAGATATTCTACAGCATAGGCATCACCCGGAACTTCTTAGAAACACAAGTCCTCCAGCCCACCCCAGACCTACCAAATTAGAATCCACATTCTTCTCTCTGTACCTTAATTTGTGAGAGGCACTGCTCTCAACAGTCTGCTCTGCTGAAAAGGGGGGCTCTTACGCTTCCTAAATAGTGGGGATAGAGGGGGGAACAAGAGCCAGTCAGGAAGCCCAGACTGACCCCACAGCTCAGGCCCCCAACAGTGGAGAAATACTGTGCATGACCTGGACATATCCTAGAGAATCCAAATGGGCTGGTGAGGCCCAGGCCCCCCAGCAGAAAGGAACAACCATGGCAGGGCCAGAGAGGAGGGGACTGGGGTATATCATTTGGGGGGATCCAGGCAAGAGCTTGAGGGCAAAGGGCGTGCGTGACACCTTTGCCACCAACATCCCTAGCCCTTGCTAGGCACTTACAGTAGAGATTGGCTCCTACCGTGCAGCCTGGGTCTGTTAGGTGGCTAGATTTCTTCCCTCCCTCCTGCTGGCTAAGTCACCATCGCCCACCGGCTACATGGCTGGTAGTGGGTGCTCAGGAAATGTTTGTTGAATAGAAAGGAAGCCACAGCTTGTGCGGAGTCTAGATAATTCACCAGACGTGGGCCTCAGGGGAGGGGCAAGAACGGAGACTAAGTAGGGAAGACAGATCCTGATGTCATACTTAGCCGGAGTGTCTCTTTTCCCTTTGGAGTCCCTATCTGAGACCTTGCTTTTGTGTGATCCTGGTGCAGGGAGGTGGGGAGGAAGAGGAAGTAGAAGCTGGCAAGAATCACCCCAGGCTGCAGGGCTATCGCCTTGCCCCCCTTCATGGTGTGCTTGATGTCTGACCTGGGTATCAGGGAGGGTGATTCCTGGTCATAGGGCCTCCCAGCCCATTCCAGAGAGGAAGTCTGCCCAGGGACCCTCCCTTTCTCTGAGAGAGCCTGAGCGCTCTTCTTCTATGTCCAGCTCGGTCCCTGCAAGTGATGTTGCCCTCCTTTCTCTGGGCCTCGGCCTCCTCTTTCAGAAAGGCAGATGGTTGCCAGCCAGTTGCTGAGATTCCCCTAGTTTGGCCATCCTCTGAGTCTGGGACTGTGAGTCACATGGGTGCAAAGCAGAAGGAAAAGATCTAGTCCTGGGCTGCGCATGCCCTCCCGACACCTGAGGAGCCAGAGCTGGACTTCTCTCACCGTGGAAGGGCAGCTTGTGGCCTGTCACAGCTTGTGGCAGGAGGCCCAGGACAGAACTCACCCACTGCAAAGACCAGATGAGGCGCAGGACACCAGGGAAAAAGGGATGTGCACGAGAGGTGCAGGGAAGCGCACCTCCTTCCCTCACAATGTCACTCTACCAGTTTGCCAAACTGCTCAACCAGACTGCTACAACCTCTGGCAACCAGACACTCACCACCCAGACTATTCTTTCCTCCTCCTCTCCCCAGCCTGCACCTCCAGCTCCCAGCAGCCTGCTCAGCATCTTCCTGAAGGGCCAGGACCACCTGTCCTGCTCTTTACACATCCTGTGCCCCTTGTGCTCTGGCCAGTACCTCTGGGGGGCCTGCTCCGAGGCGCCAGTCCCTGTGGGGCCCTAGCCTTACTGTCTTCTCTGGACTCTGGGGACCCTGCTTCTTGTAACTCAGAGCAAGTCTGGACTTCTGGCTCAGCCTGGAGGCCATTCCACCCCAAGGGCTGCTGGGAACCATCTGGCCAGGACCCAGGGCTCTCCTGGTCCCCAGGTGTTGGACTAGGCACACACACATGCTCCCTGGGCCCAGGGCTATTGATCCCGCCTAAAGAGAGGTCAAGAGGAACCAAGTCAGTGTTCTGTGGTGAGCAAGGAACCAAATTGGCTGTCAAAGTTCCTGACTCCCCACTTGGTCCCTCTCGGGACTCCAAAGCTGGGCTGGTTGCTGGGGCACTCGTGGGTCTGCCCGGCTCTGTCTTGCTCTGCTTCTGTGCTTGTTCCTTTTCGCTTAGAGTTTTTCTGGCGCTTTGGCGTCCCTGAAACAAGAGGGTGGTTTTGCTGGCTGGCAAATTCAAGGCTCATGTCCCTAGCCTGCCCCACCCTATGCCCAAGTACCTACCTCCTGGCTCGCCAGCTCCTCGTCTTCCTTCATCTCCCACCTGTGGAAACACAGCACATGTGGGTCCTCCTCCTACTAGCCCCACTGCATGTCACCCACTTCATTGCCAGGGAACGTGTCACCCACGTTCCCCAGGAAGAAGCTAGAGCTCGCGGGCCTCTGTGGAGCTTCAGAGCCGGGAGGCTCCAGGCTGCTTCATTTCCAGCCTGACCTTGCTCCCCAAATCCAACCATTTCCTCAGAATCCCACCCGCCTTAGCTCTACCCCAGGTCCCCAGCTGCTGTTTATGGCCAAGCCTGCAGCATCTTGAGTGCTGTGGGGACTCCAGGCGTGTCCCTGCCTGTGCTGCCTGGGAAAGGCACGTCTGACTTCCCCGGGGAAGGTAACTGCTGTAATTACCACCGGCCTCCCTGGGTACCAGGCTCTTGCTGCTGCTGCCTTTGCTGATGGCCTCTCCCTCATCTCATTAACCCACCGCCAAGGAGGCAGAGGCCCCGGGGGTGGACCAGTGCTGTCCTCACCTCCCAGGGGCAAGGCAGAGCCAGTAAATCAGGAGGCCCCAATGCCTCCCTTGATTTTGCCCCCTGCCACCTGTTACCTGCGGGCCCTGCCAGTCAGCCTCTCTGTCCCCCGGGCTTTGCTATGTGTGGCCAGAGTCATGGGGGGTCTGCTGGGTTGCCTGCCCCGAGTCATACCACCTGCAAATGTAGGAGAGAGAGGCCATAGCAGTCTGGCTCCTTCACCAGTTCATGGAACCCTGCTTCTCTTCTCCCAGCTCACCTTTGCCATCAGGGCCCAATGGTGGGGGCTGCAGCTTCCGTTGGCTCCTAGGACCTAAGTGAGGCAAAGGAGAGGGCGTGGTAACAAAGGCTCCAAAGCAGGAAGACCAGTTCTTCCAGCACCAGTCAGTCCTTCTTTTGGTTCGGTTGTGGATTCTCGGGCTCCCAAAAGGAGCCTAGGTCAGAGGACCAGGAGGCCTGGGGCCTGTGCCCCCCTCACCACTCCTGCTTGGCGACCAGAACCTCTCCCAAAGAAGCTGGGCTGCTTTGTGGGTATAATGAGGGGAATGGCAATTTGCAGGTCAGGGCCAAGGAAACTAGAATTTTCTTCCATGAGGGAGCAATACCTGAAAATGACCTCAGGACAAACTTCCACATCAACCTCCTCCCTAGACCCTCTGGGGTCAGAACCCCGGGTCAGAGTTGTGGATTTGGAGAGTGGCAGGTCGTGCTGCCCTCTTGTGATGGTAAGGGAGAAGAAGGATGACATACTTCCCTGCTGCTTTCCACTTGGGAAACCAATAGAGAAAATAGAGGAAGGGAGACAAGGAGAGAAAAAAGTCAAGGAAAAGAAGGGGGCCAGCTGGGTGCAAGCTCACCCCTGGTGCTGCCTGCCCTAGCTGGGCCTTCTTGCCGATGCTTGCTGGAGTCCTGTAGCCTGTGAAGACAGATGGGGGTCCAGATGCTGATGGCAGAGAGGACAGAGGCTGCAGCAGGACCCACCCCAATACCACCTTCCCCGACCCCAGAACTGGGGGCCCCAAGAAAGAGGCGGAGTCTATGCCCACATAGACCCTGAGGCCCAGGGCCTGACCTCAGGGCCCAGACCAGGTCCCACCAGCCCTCTGAAGTCCCCAGGCAGCCCTGTCCAGAGCATTGCACACAAGCCAGCCCAGCAAAGTGTCTGGTCCTGCCACCCACATGGGCTTGGCCTTGTCCAGGTCCCACGGGCGGCGCCAGTCACCGTGTGCATCTCTGTGCCGGGCCAAGCGGGCCAGGTCGATCTGTTCCCGCTCCTGCTTCCACTGAGCATAGTCCCAGTCCACCTCCAGGTGGGAAACTGAACCTGGGACTCGGCCTGGATTCCGGGGTTCCCGAGAACCCTGCGAGAAGAAGACACTCAGCACCATGAAGTAGAAGCAGAAAGAAGCCCGGGTTTGGGGTGGCCATCTGTCACTAACCCCTTCCTCTCTCGGGGTTTCAGTGTCCCCTTCTAAGAATTAGATCCGCTCCTTCTCTAACATGCTGTTTGCCACAGGCACGGTTTCCATCCACTCTTTAGCTGTGTCTTTGGAGCAAGTTACTTAACCTCTCCAAATATCATTTCCTGGGCTGTGAGAGGAGCATGATAATAGCATCTGTCCCCAGGGCGGGTGCAGGGGAGTGTGGTGGGTTGGGGTGGAGAGGAGCCCTGCGGCAGGGAGCAAGACTAGGGCCTGCTGCCACCTAGAGGTCACACCTGGCTCAAGGCCAGTCCCCGACACCCTCGGGGCCCCGGCTCCCCCAAAACCTCCGCCCTTTGCCACCTGAGGGCCAGATAGGGTGCAGGGCTGGGTCCCACTCTGGCTTACCCTGTCTCTCACTGCAAGGCCCACCCAACATGGAGACGGGCCAGAGAAAGGAAGGGAGGTGGAAATTCTAGGGCTGCCTGGGCCATGTCTCCACAGATGGGGGACATATGTGACTCAGCTTCTCTGCCTCCTGCAAAGGGGGACCACCACATTTCTGTCTCCTCTTGAAGTACCTTCCGCACAGAATCCGAGCTGACGGCCATCTGCCTGGGGGGGCTCTGGCCCAATCCCCCTCCAGGTGACCCTTCTGTCCCCTGCTTCCTTGCCTTGCTGGGTTTCTCACTTACGATCCGCTTGGCCTGGGGGAGGTGAGGATGGGCAGCTTGGCAGAGCCAGGAAAAAGAGGCTGCCCACCCGTGCGGGCTTCCCCCACCACCCGGCTCACCTTGGCTTTGTTTTCCATGGTCACGGCCAGCTCCACCCGCTCCCCCATGCAGAAAGCACCCGTGTGGGCATCTGCCTCCTCGTCCTCCAGCATCTCACTACCTGCTCCCGGTCCGAGGGTGTTCCTTGTCCAGTTCTGGCTGACCACCCGCTTCTCCTGCAGAATGAGGTACTGTGTCCTTAGGCCATACAAGCAGCACTGGGCAGGCGCTGGAGGCTGGTTCTAGCCCTGGCCCCTCTCAGTGCCCACAGAGGAGCTGATTATGTGGGGCATTCGCATGCCAGTGGCATTAGGTGGCTTGGGGCCACCCAGAGCCAAGATGCCACCAAGCCTCATCATTTCTGAGTGGGGAAAATCCAAAGTGCTCAGACAATGGGGCTTTGTCCCTCAGATTATTCGTGACATTTGGCCCCCACTTCTCTGTCCCCCTGGGGTTTAGATTTAGGAGTAGCCTGTGCTTGGGGGCAAGGAAGTGGGACCTCAGGCCTGGAGAAGGGTATGAGGAGACTTCTACTTAGGAGCCTTTCAGCTCTGGCCCTTTGGGGAGAAAAGGATGGAGTGGCATGGGCTGTGTGAGGTTGGGAGCCGGTGGGGGTGCCCCAGAATTGCAAGCGGGAGAGGCAGAGGGGCAGGGGAAGTTGTCCTCCCTTGACACGAGCTGGGCCTCCACCTTGTTGCCACCCTGCCCTAACTCTCTCCCGGGTAGGGCTTACACCAGGAACCTGGCTGATCGTCACAGTGAGGCCGTCGGGCCGAAGGAGTTCTGGTGTGGTTACAGCCATGCCCCCCTGCTCCGCCTGCCGACGGTCTTCCTGGATCTCCTGTGGGACGGCCTGGGGTCAGCAAGGTCACAGCCCCCCAGACACATAGACATAGATGCCAACAGGCCTACACAGTGGGACACCCGGGGGGCAGAGGCATCATGTAGTCAGCAAGACCCTCCTCACAGAGCCTCCCTAACCCCGGACCCCAAACCAGAGCCTGTAGGGAGAGGCACCCGTGCAGAGGTGTGCAGGTCTGAGAGGGAGTGCCAACCCAGTCCGTCCTCCCAGCCCATCACAGCCCTCTCACCTGGTACCTGCGTAGCAAGGCCTGGTTCTTCTTGCGAAGGGCAATTATCCTCCGGTCCAGCTCTGCGTCCTTCTCTTCCTGCCTGCTCCATGGGGACTCCGCCCCCTGAGGCCCCTGCAGAGGACAAGGGGCTCGAGCTCCTGACTGCCATGCCAGCCCCTTACCAGCTCCCTGACTTTCACATTCACATGTTCTTGCCACCAGTGAACACGATCCGAGCCCCAGAGCCAGGGTTACATGGGGAAATGGCATATGGAAGGCTCTAAGACCCCAGCCTACTCGTCCTGTCAGCCCACCTCTCTTCAGGGGCTCAGGTCAGGCCTTCAGACCCAGGCCTGCAGCTCCCAGTAATGGGCCGCCCCTCCCCCGGCTCTCCAGGGAGCCCCGCTGCTGAGCAGAGCCTGGAATGGGAGTTATAAATGGCTCTGGCAGCGGAACCTGCCGTGACTGGGAAGTTGCCAGGGGATTCGGGAGGTCGAGGGGGGAGCTGTCTGACTCCCAGGCCCAGAGCCACAGAAGAAAGAAAGGCCCCTGCTTCATTCCAGGCTCCTAGGCCCTGAACCCCATTCCCCAGGTCTGTGCTCAGCCGGTAGGAAAGAATCGAAAGAATCGCTTCCACGGGCCCAGCCTCTCCAGCAGGAGCTGCTGGCAGCTGGGGCAGGAGAGAGTCAGCCTGTGAACAGGCCCAGCCGGGGAACCACCCTGAGGAAGCTGTGCCCCGTACCAAGATTCCCAGGCCCCTCCCAGTCTGGCTGCAGGGTCTTCATTGTGGCCAATGCCCGTGCCCAGCGCGCCCCCTCTCCCCGCCCGCCTAGGCACAGCCCTCTTCCTCCAGGCTCGACTGTTCCCAGCTGCCCCCAAAATGTGACTGCCTGGTGTCCCAGACCCCTCCCAACACCAAGAAGCCCCCCGCCAAAGGCGAGGTGCCACTCACAGCTGAGTGCATGGCAACAGCGGGCACCGGGAGAATTCCAGAGCAGCCCCAGGGGAGCCAGAACAGGAGGGAAGCTGGAGCTACCAGAGCTGGGCCTCTGCTGGCCTCTCCCCGCCGGCTTCGCTGCTCAGCACACGAGATCATGTTGTGATTACAAAAGACTCCTCTGGGCTCCCAGCCAGGAACGCCACAGCCACCGCCCCCACCCATCCACTCACAGAGGCAGAGGGCGAGGACCAGGGCACTGGCAGCCAGCTGGCCCTGCCTAGCACCTCTCCCTGCCCTGCCCTAGGGTCCCCAGACAGACTGGCAGGGACTACTCCCAAGCAGGTTGAGCCCACACAGGGGGCCTGGCTGCCCCAGGCCCTGCCTTCCCCCAGGCCCTGTGCCCCAACTGGACCCTGGCCTGGGCCTGCCTGCAAACAAGATAGGCCCTGTCCCTCCCATTATAAGACATACCTGAAGGGCACCACTCAACCCATCAGGCCCCTGGGTCTGAGCATCCCCACCTCGAAAGAACCTGCCTCCCCTCATTCTGTTCATCAGCGCTGGTTTAAGGAATTTAATGGGATCAAGAAGCTCACCTCCCTTAGGCCACCGAATACTACTGCATACCTAAAATAACTATTAGTCATTCATTCCTTTAGGGTGAACATTGTCCGCTCTGTATCTTAAACAGCCATTCCTGGGAGCTTCAGCTGTTTGGTCTCTAGCCCCTTGGTGTGGGGAGCCCGGCCTTCCTTCAGGGGCCCTGCAAGCTTAGCTTATAGCTGGCCAACAGCCTCCCCTCCTCAGCTCCCAATTCTGTGCCCTTCTCAGCCTTGCTCTTTGGAGCTAGTTCTTTGAATCTATCCCACTCCGAGAAAGGAAGCAGCCTTTCTCAGGAAAGCCTCTCCCTAAGTCTTTCCGGTACAGCTGAGGCAGCTCACTGTGCCCAGGGGAGCAGCTCGCCTGGCTGTGACCTTTGAAACCTCTGGAATCTGGGCCTTGGGAGTGCTGGGAGGAGAGGTGGTCTCTGTATGAGGAGCATGTGCTGTCTGCTTCAGTAGATAAAGGGCCCTGACCTCTAGACCTTGAGGGGAGACTCAGAACACCTGCATTCCCCACATCCCTGAGTGGCCAGACCTCAATTTCCCCAGTCCCATGCCACAACTTGTCCCCTGTTGTCTCCAAAGTAGAAAGCCTTATTGCCCCTCTCTCCTACGCAAACCAGCTCGAGGCAGCCAAATGTCCAATTTCTGCTCCCTTTGAACCACCCTTTCCTGTCAGCCTGCCCTCCCCACCACAGCTTAGCCTCTTTCCTAACAAGGGCATCATATGGCACCCCTAACCCCACACCCCATCTCCACTGCCCCAGAGTCCCCATCGTGCTTGGAAATGCCACAGCCCTCTGTCTTCCTTTCCTGCCGGATGTTCCCGCTGAGTCAGACTCATCAACTTTCCCAGCAACAGTGACAGTGACGCACCCAGGCTCCTCTCGCTTCGTCTCTCTCTCTCACACACACTCCCATGCTCCCTCTCCTAGCCTCTCCATGTGCTGCACCACAGACAGCTGACTTCCAGCCTAGCCTCCACAGGCCAGGGGTGGAGCCCTGCTGAGGGGACTTTATGCTTCCTATCGCCTGCCCACAGCATGTTCCAGGAGCTGGGAGGCCTATGGAACACAGGCTGGAGGGTGGAAGTCAGTGGGAGGGGGGGTGGCGGAGAAGGATGCAGCTGAGACCTACTGTCTCTGTCATCTGTGGATCCCAACCAGCACACTAGGTCTGGGGAGGCACTGAGAAGAGACTGCAGGAATGAAGCAAGGTCTGCTGTCCCCCATGCCCCAGTTCCCAGCTGGGGTGAGAGCAGGATAGGGCCTAAGCTGTAGACCCAGATGGAAATCCAGTCATCCTAAAGGGAGAATGACCAGCTCTTCTGAAGGCCTGCAGGGACAGACTTCCCTAGTCTAGTGGCAAAACCTTCCTGGCACACCTGACCAAAACCCACATGCCCAGGACAATGAGCAGTCAGACAGGGACCCAGAGCAGCTGCCCTGAGCTTCCCAAGTGTCTCTCATACACTTTGGCACACCGCAGAGCTGTCCCCTATTTTCTCTGAAGTCTGGGGTTTGCCTATCTGCTCCCTCATTCGACAGGGCCTATCTGAGGGCAGGAATAGTGTGCAAAGTGCCTCTGGATCCCCAGGACCTGGCACTGTGTCCTTGCAAACTACAGACCCTTCCAAAGCACCTGCCGAGTTGATGCCTGACTGAGTAACCTGTGCTCTCCGGTGCACAGCTGTGGTATTAGGTATTAGGTGTGGCAGCCTCTCTCTCCATCCAAAATTCACTCAATCCTGAGAGAGGTTGTGGGTGGTAAAGGACCCTAAGGGTGAATGAACCCCCTTTCATTCCAAAGGTCAGAGGCTGGAGAATGACCTGGTGAGACCACGGCGCTGTTACTCTGTGTCACCACTAGGGGGCAGCAGAGTAGCAAAGCCTGATTATGGGGTGGGGGCGCCTCATCTCAGCTCCTGCTCCCTAGCCATTCTTCCTCCAAGTCTTTGTAATCCCCGCCTCCCAACTCCAGCAGGCTAGAGAAGCTAGCCAAGCCTTATTTTATTGACTAGGGGCTCAGAGGTAGCATCTTCTGCTCTGGCTGCACAGCCTGTTTGCGTCACAGATGAGGCCAGAAGTCTGGGCACCTGCCCGGCTTCCCAGCGCTTTTTTCCCTGGATGCCCTGACAGTGCCAATGCTGTTTCATATTCACTCTGCACCCTCCCTCTCTGCCTGGGCATGAGCCCCTTGCCCCAGCACCTTGGACTCGTCTCTTCCTTGTGTGGTCCCCACCCTTTCAGTGGCCTGCCAGCTGGGCCCACAGCACCACACGTGGGGTGGGCCAGATTGGGACCCGTTCTGTAGTATGTTAGGACCAGCCCTGAGGACAAGATGACTGCAGGACTGGGGGTTCTCACTGAAGAGAAGAGGAAGCCCTTCGTACCCCACCGTGAGGCTGGAACACAGACCAGACAGAGGGCCTGCTATTGGGTCCATGCTCCTCAGACCTCCATCCGTTTCCAGAATGGCTGCCCCTGCTGCTGATTGATCATTAAAGGGTAAGTACTCAGGCCCATGCCCGCATCTTATGATGAGGCAGAGTGCGTGGTGGATTCCCAATCAACTTCATCTCTCACTAGCTGTGTGACTTTTGGTAGATTCCTTATCTCTCTGGTCATCCTCTGTAAAATGAGGTGAACCTGCCTTCCCAAGTCATTGGCAGATGAAAGAGAATGTCACAGTAACATTTGTTTTTGTTTTTCATACAAATGCCTCCATTTTAATCATATTTTTAAAAAGATTTATTTATTTATGCATACAAGAGCTGGGGTACAGGCCAGAGGTGTGGCGGGGGAGGGAGGTGAGAGGATTCACCAGAGTGGGGAACAGGCAGATTGATCGAAGTACACTGCTGAGGGGAGCAGCGGGCGGGACAGGAGAGGTCTGCTGCGCCATGTGGATTGCTCCCTGGCCAGCTGGGGATCAAACTCTTGCTGCAGAGGTTGTGGAGAGCTTCATAGGTTGCATATTAACCCCTTGCGCCACCAGGGAGGCCCCATTTTAATCATATTTTTAAATTACTTCCTTTATATAAATTAAGAAATATATGTAATGACTATGCACTTTTTTTGTTTTAATTTTTTTTAAGAGGCACGTATTTTATTTATTTATTTATACAAGCACTGGGTACAGTCAGAAGCGCGGGAGGGTGAGAGAATTCACCAGAGCCAGAGCCGGGAGCAGAGCAGGCAGAAGGACCGAAGCACACTGCTGAGGGGAGCAGCGGGCGGCAGGAGAGGTCTGCGCGCCATGTGGGACCCTCCTCCGGTGGCCGGGGAGCAGCCGGGGATTGAACCAGCGCCGTGGAGGTCGCGGGGAGCTTCGCAACCCAGCACTCAACCGCTGCGCCACCGGGGAGGCCCAAGTTTTAATTTTTTTTAATTAAAGTAACATTTGTTTTATCACAGTAATATTTGTATCTGAAACAACATGTAGCCTGCAGTAAAGTTCAAACTAGTTTTCTTCTTGCCTCAGGTTACTGTGATAGCCACCTTCCAGAAGCTACCACCACAGCATCCTTTGAGGAATCCCAAAGTCTGCCTCGTGCCAGCCTGCTGGAATTGAAGGCCTCTGTGGCTCTGTGGTATGGGGACCATTTGTGACCTGGTAGGAGAGATTCAGAAGCTCCCCCTCCACATCCTCTCTGCTGTCCCCTGCCTAGCAAATCCTGCAAGGCCAAGCTCATCTTCAACCCCCTCCAGGGAATCTTGGCCAGCTCCCCTATACCCTGCCCTTTCCTCTCTACGGTCTTAGGCGAGGGCTGCCATCTCTCTCCAGCCAGTAGGGGTGCTTGGGAAGTAGTCCTGTGCTTTACCTGCTCTAGACCTCCCTGGGCCCAGTTCCAGACTCACATTCCAGGGCTCACGCCTAGCCCTTGGAGATCAGTAGTTTCACTTGCCAAGTCTGGGTGGGTGGAAGAGTTTTGAGGAAGAGGGCAGGCAAGGTTGGATTGCACGAGAGCCCAGCTGTTAGGCAAGTCCACATGGGAAGGGACAAGGTGGCTTAAAGCATAGTGCTCCTTTCCTACACACCCACCCGTCCTGGCTCCCATCATACTCATTCCTGGCTCACGAAATACCTACTGACAGGATAGCTATGTGTAGGCCTCTTGCATCAGACCAGGCCTCACCTTGCTTGGGGAGGACTCAGAGTATATGACATAAGGCCACAGGGACCAGCACTGAACAGATTCCAGCCACTAGGGACAGTCTGATCCCCACCTCTCCCAAGAACACAAATGCCAGAGCAGGGCGGGACAGAAGCCCTCTGAGGCCTCTGGAGGCAGAAGGAAGTTTATCTGGCCCCTCCCTGACCCCCACCCTGTCTGCTCTCCAGGGCACGCCCAGGGCTAAGACAGCACCATCTTTCCAGCTCCAGGCCCATCAGAAGACAGTGAACCTTGGTATGGAACTGAACCCCTGGGGTGTCCCTTGTTTGAGGCTCTCTTCTCATGGTGGGTACAAAGGGAACACACAATGTTCTCTGGGAGCCCCTGACAAGGCCCCCTAGCCCAGAGGTGCTAAATGCTGCCCTAACAGGGCACCAC